GGCTTATGGATTTCAATATTTACATAGGCCTACAAAAAAAACGCACAGCGTGCTTCACATTGAGACAACGTTCATAACATATATCGTACAATTGTGATTCATTTGCCGAAAAAATTAGGTCGGCATCACACTGCCGGCAAAAGTTATTGCAGTTCTAGTGACGCTAGGTCGCCGCCCGGCCGACCCTCACCCTGGTCAGGTTGGCCGGGCGGCGGCCGCGCAGCTGACGTCCGTGCGGTTCGGCAGCTGACCAGTCAGCTGCGAGAGAGGAGCGCGGTCCGTCTAATCGCCGTCCCGCAGTTGCTTTTGCGGAGGGGTGCTCGTCGCTCGTGTCGATTGCATTTGTTGGTTGTCGAATTCGATTGTCGATTGACTTGTGGGTATACTTTCTGGTGACCAATAAATGTACGTCGTCTTAATTGAATGTAGTCTGATCAAATTCAATAAAGCAAAAAGACATCCAGCCAATAGAACATCGTAAAAATGTCAGATATGGTTGATAACATTCAGAGTTTTGGGAGCAGCCATCGGCCAGAATGCACCTTATTGGCTTTTATATGTAACATTTGCATTGCTTTTGGAAAGTTTCAGTCAGATATCTTCAGAAATGGCAATGTTATCGGCCTTTGCATTTTACCGTAGTCGGTTCATCACAATTAGGCATCGATATTGCAACGGCAATTACAGTACGTTCTTGACATCGAAAACCAAAACGAATAGTATCATCGTGTTCCGCAGAGCTCATATTGCATCCGATGCACATCTTTTTTGTAGAGAATGTTCAACTTCAAATTTTGACCCTTTTGACCTCGACGTGACCTGACCTTCATTTGTCGATGGAAATAGTTTCGAATCGGACGACCCAGATGATATCATTTTTGGATGCTTTTGCCGAAATGGACCATTAAAGATGTGTCGCATGACCTAAAACATGTATACATCTCCAAAAACTTCCATGACTTTTTGTGACCCAGCGTGACCTAGTTTTGACCTGATGCATACCAACTACAGACTTCGCAGTCGTACCCTTATAGGACATAGAGCACATATCTATAAGTTTGTTAACAAAAAATGAGATCAATGTGACTAAAGCGGTGGCAAGAGCCTAAACTGTGTATAGTCGACTACATAATGATGTTCCACTTTTCACAGGCAATTATTTGCCTGGAGTGGTAGGCTGTGCCGCATCACACGGGCTGAGTTAACAAATTATAGCTTTGTCCCAATGCTCACAATCGACACGCTTAATTGCGTGATAATTACGGCACAACTTAGCGCTCCGGTCAACTGATAGCTTTTGAGGATTGGAACATCATTCTGTAGTCGACTATACACACCAAAATGCTGTCAGCTTTAATTTTGAGTTGACCTTTGACTTCATCGGTAACCTTGATACAAACAAAGTTAGGTTTCGTTTGTCAGCTATTCCTATAGAAGCCGTTAGAATTTTTAGTATTGAACGAGTAGTTTCGAAGACAGCAGGGAAGCTATGCAGAATCCCCTCCCGAGTCACCCACATTATGGGATATACCCGTCATCCGCGGATTACAAGCAAAAATATTTTTTACGGCAATGCTGTATCAGCATGGATGCTCATACGTTCCCATACGTGACCTTAAGGTTGACTTCACATATAATAAAAATTCCTTGGCAAAATGTCAACTGGTTAACGAGTTATCGCATTTTGGCCACTTCCGAACTCAAATAGCGGCTGTGTGTACCGGTCAGTTTGACAGTCGAGCACCCCTACGCTGGGCTACACCGGATCGCGGATTGGGCCGGGGCAAAGTCCGGCCGGGCGGTCGGCTGCAAAGTCAATTAATCTTTTTGTGGGTTCGGGTGCCGGTCGCTCTAGCTTGGTGGAATGATGGTGGATCGTTGGCAAAACTTTCAACGTGGAGTCCCGGTTCGAGCCTCATCGGGGCTCCGGCTGCTTTTCCGAGTTAGGATGTGGTTTGATTTTAGTGGTTGCGAGCCATTTATACTGTTTTATATCTACATTTCGATTGTCGATTGATTGGTTGATTGATTCATTCGTTCATTTAACACATGTCGACATTTAGCATACGAATTGACATCCAGGATCAATCTACCATTTTCATAAACGTATTGCCTAAATATCATGCATATACCTATATGTGGCACAAGACCTATGGTTGCCTCGATGCCGTGCCAAATCACGTTTTGCACAATGCACAAGTAAAGTAAATTATATTCGCTGGGTCTTCCGTGCAATGTGCTTAACAAAAACAGGAATGCAATTGTTAAGCGACGCAAAATGTGCAATGCAGCAAGTGACCACACACACCCGCCCAGCCCCCATGGTCCACCAACACGCCCCACACCACTCGCCAGCCCACGCCAACCACCGAGACGAGCCCCTCCCCCCGCACTGGTCTGACGCAACAGCTGGTCTACAAAGCGCTCCACCCGGCGACCCGAGCCGATGTCAAACGGCGTGGGTAGACTGTGCCGCCTAACTTTCGGGTCATGCGGCACAGCCTACCGGTACCAGGCGGCTGCTGCCAATGCTGAGCCATAGGAACCCGGTGGATAAAGAGTAGCGGACCATCAACCTGTACCCGACTATACCGGCCTCAGCTGGGCTGGAGTGGGGTAAGCGCTCGGCGGGGCGGGGCAAGCTTTTGACCGGTCGCAGGGCCGAACAGCTGTCACTGGTACGTACCAGCCCCCGTTCACAAGCTCCAGAATCCCTTTACCGTGACGTCACCACGGCGGTTGAATCTCCCTTCGCCCATAGGCATGCATGCAAATTTCATCACCTTTCGAGCGAGCTGGAGAAAAAACAAGGATTATGTGTCATCAAAAGTTGTACCAATGTAACAATGAGTTCGCCTCATTACGATAAATGGGACTGAAACTAAAAAATAGGACTATATCGAGCCAAAATCAGCAATTCAAATGACCCCTTCATTTGAACGTGAAGGATTTCCTCTGATGAAGTCACCACGACGCCTTTATTTCCCTAGTAAACCAACCTGAGTAGTAAAGGAATATTGACTGGTACAGCCTCTGACAGTGAAACCCCGCTAACTTTCCCGGCGCGGGCATTGAGCGCAGCGGGACGGAGCAAAACCTGTATAAGTAAATGTAAATTAAAGCATGTTGTAAATCTAGCAGAACAATGAACTGTCTTCACAGGTATACTGAATAACTTTGATAGCGATATGGATCGTTAAAGAAACAAATATAACACTTGTTTACCAGGACGAGACTCGGAACGTTTCTTCCGTGGCCGGTCAAACGGGCCTAGCGCCGGGTCTGCGAGTCGATAAGGGCTATTTCACGCTTCTGTGTGGCTGAACTTCATCCATCGTGACACTCAGTTGTGTGATTGCGCCTTATTACCGGCTGTGAGGGGCGCATATTAACATTTGAGAATGTTTTATTGCTGGATCTTGTTCCTTTGGTATTCAGCTTTCACTGGAAAACGAAAAAAAACATGCATATGATTTCAAGACTGTCCTGGACAGCTCGTTGAATAAAGAATTATCACGTTTTTACAGAAAACGCAATTTTTGAAAAAGGCCATCGAACGATTTCGATAAAAAATACATTTTTGGAATCAGCTCACCGTCAGCTTTCGAATGGAATATTTCGTTTCTTTTGTGGATGAAATGAGTTTCTGACGAACCGTGCTGTCAGAGCACCCGGGAAATGCAATAAGAGCCTGACACTGGCGGCCAGCAGGTCCGATTCCCTTTCACTAAGCGCCCAGCACAGGTGTGTGGTCGGCCGGCAGACATTACGCCTCTGATAATTTTAGATAGGACAGCCGGAGTTCAGTCGCCGAACGACCGTACCACCACTGTCCCGACAGCGAGCTGCACCACACGTCTGCCTAAGTACAATTCCGCAGGAGAGGTGGTCCAGTGCTGACGGTACCACACGTCCGCAGGTCGGCCGGACGGCATCTGTATTTGGCATCAAGGCACAATTAATGAGGCACATTCGACAAGGCACCTGCCACCGCTCACACATTGTGATATATATATATATATATATATATATATATATATATATATATATATATATATATATATATATATATATATATATATATATATATATACAATATATATATATATATGTTACAGGGAGTTTGAGAAATCCGTGAGTTTGCAAACTCCCTGACCCATCAGTGAGTTTGCAAACTCACTAGGGAGTTTGCAGACTCACTGACCGGTCAGGGAGTTTGAGAAATTCCACAGCGATTGGGCCAAATAAAAACAAGTGTGCAGCATGTGGGTGGCATACGTGCCGTCCGTGATGTTAAAACAAAGGTGGCTTGTTGTAGGGCCTCGCACGCTGACAAAAAGCTTATAGATCATATGCACACCATAAATACCTTTTTTGATTTTAAACTGCTCAGTGATCTATCCATGCATGTACCGCCGCTTTATCTAGTCATAGTTCACGTCCCAATTAGATCCGTTCCACTCAAGTGTGGCTATTCCAAAGTCAGGCTCAATATATCAAAGTAGAAACAGCTCATGTTGGTCACTTGTGCTAAAGTACAGGCACACGCACCAATTCACGCCCATTCCCACTCCGCTATAGACGTGTCATCGAGAGCCGGCGCTGCTGGCAGCCAGCCCAGCTGCGACTGGCGCACGCTGCTTGTTTGTTTTTGTTTTGTTGGGTTAGGCCCTTTCGGTCTGACAAGACCATTTCAGAGCCGGAAGAATGATAGGAATTAGGGGGAGACAGTGGTCTGGGCAGACACCCTAGAGAGTCGCGGGGGCTTAGCTCGTCCGAATGGACAGGCCGACCAGCCCCCCAAGCACTCTCTGCACCCGGCTACGGGGTGCGCTCCCTCGGGAGCAGCGGTGCCGCTCCAAGGGAGCAGCCCGCATGAGATAAAGGTGCCTGTCTGGCCAGGAGTGGGGGTTTCGGCGTGGAGGAGAAGGATTTCAGTATCCTGATTCCTGAGGATGGAAACGACGGAACGGAGGAGCCCGTTGCTCCGAACCTCCCCTTTACATAGCCGCGAGTAGCATTTTTTTCCGGTAAAACAATTAAGGATCTGTAAGCTTTTTGTCAGCTTGCAATTATATAGGCCGTACCACTAGCCGCCTTTGTTTTAACATCACTGACGGCACGTATGCCACCATCATCTTACACACTTGATTTTATTTGGCCCAATCGCTCTGGAATTTCTCAAACTCCCTGACCGGTCAGTGAGTTTGCAAACTCCCTAGTGAATTTGTAAACTCCCTAGTGAGTTTGCAAACTCACTGATGGGTCAGGGAGTTTGCAAACTCCCTAGGGAGTTTGCAAACTCACGGATTTCTCAAACTCCCTGTAACATATATATACATATATGTATGTATAATGTATATGGTCCGCAGTCGGCGGCGCGCTCAAACAGTGCGCCAGATATACTGCCCGCTACGCTGGGAACACAGGGGCTGGCAGGCGCCACCTCCACTGCCGGCGGCCTCCCAAGTTTGGCTGCCGGCGCCACACGGCACTCAGCCGCCATCAGGAGCAACAACCGGAACAACAATCACAGACGTGCAGCCGCAGTAAGACGCACTTGTATATGATAATCTGATCAGCGCATAAGCACGGAAGCGGCCGTCCGGCCAATATAACAGCCGAACCTGTGGAATGGGGCGCTGCTCACCAGCGCCCCGCCCGCCCCGCTAAACAGCCCTGTAATCTCGATAGTGGAAGGCGCCGCTCCGCCGGACGGGTCGCGTGGCGCGGACGGGCGTGTCACCGCCGGCGGGGGCAGGCTGTCCCAGCCCTCAGCGCCTCGGCACGGCGGCGGGTACCCTCAGCCAGTACCCACCGCCCCCGGGACAGCCCGCCCGCCCCATCCAGCCTCCATAGACACATCCATTATACGTACAGGAAGGCACGCGCAGCAACTGGAACTTTATGCGACAGCAGCACGGCAGCTCTTAGGCTGCGGAAGCTCACCGCCGTGTCGGAGAATTCCATACGGCGTAACAATCACCACTCGCCGCACAAAGAGCGACCGCGGAGGCCGCTGAATCACCAGGTCAATCGCGGGCAGCTCCGTCAGCCGCCAGCTGCACCTGATATCAGTAATGGCTAATGATACCGGCGCCGGGATCGGCCGGCCTGGCCGGCTCCTGCCCCGGGCCCCCGCAGCGGCAGCGCGGTCACTCGGCCGGGCCGCCCAGCCCAGCCAGGCTGCCCAGGAAACTCTCCGGTGTGAGCAGCTGCTCGCTGCCAATCAGCACCTCCCAGTTCTTCAGTGCCGCCGTCACCTGCCGAGAGAGCCAGCCACACTCAGCGCGTCCGTATGCACAGTGCGTGCACACTACACAGTGCAACTGCACACACTAAACAAGCAGATAGGGAGGGGACTGTGTGTTACGTCGCGATCCAGCTCTGCAGCGTCTTAGCGAGCTGGCTGAGAGCCATTGTCACCCTGTAAGGACCACGGTTCGTCGGAAACTGGTTTCATCCACAAAATAAACGAAACATACCATTCGAAAGGTGACGGTGAGCAAATTCCAAAAATGTATTTTTTATCGAAATCGTTCGCTGGCATTTAAAAAAAAAAAAATGGTGTTTTTGTAAAAACGTAATAATCTTTTATTCAACGAGCTGTCCAGGGCATTTTTGAAATCATAGGCATGTTTTTCATTTTCCAGTGAAAGCTGAATGCCAAAAGAACAATATGTAGCGAAAAAATAGTATCAAATATCAATATGCGTCTCTCACAGCCGTAAACAAGGCGCAATTATACAACTCAATGTCACGATGGATCAAAGTAAGCCACAGAAAAACGTGAAATGACCCTTATCGACGCACAGACCCGGCGCTCTCGGCTGTCTGACGGGCCACGGAAGAGACGTTCGGCTGTCTCCCTACTAAACGGACGCCATATTTGTCAGTTTAACGATTCAAGTCGGTACCTAAGTTGTTCAGGATACCCAAGAGGAAGATTCATTGTTCTGTCATTTTCACATCATGTATGAATTTGTATTTTTTTATGTTTACTTCGCTCAGCTCAGGAAAGTTGGCCGCGCTGAGCTGTCAGAGGTTGTACCGGCCTCAGCTGGGCTGGAGTGGGGGAGCGCCCGGCGGGGCGGGGCAAGCTTTTGACCGGTCGCAGGGCCGAACAGCTGTCACTGGCAGGGCTGCGGAGTCGATGGATTTTCGGCGACTCCGACTCCGACTCCGACTCCGGCTTTCAAAAACCAGCTCCGACTCCGACTCCGACTCCGGGCAGAATTGTCGACTCCGACCGACTCCAACTCCCGACTCCGACTCCGCAGACCTAGCAGGGCTGCGGAGTCGACAGATTTTCGGTGACTCCGACTCCGACTCCGGCTCGGGTTTCTAAAATCGACTCCGACTCCGACTCCGACTCCGGTCACAACTGTCGACTCCGACCGACTCCGACTCCGACTCCGCAGCCCTGGTCACTGGTACATCCTCTGACAGTGAAACTCCGCTAACTTTCCCCTGCGCGGGCATTGAGCGCAGCGGAACGGAGCAAAACCTGTATGAGAAAATGTAAGTTAACCCGCGCCCCGCTGGGCTATTCAGCCATACGCGCCCTGCTGGGGGGGGGGGGGGGGGCAGATTCTGCCCCCCTGTCTAACTTCCGAACCGATGGTCGTAGAAAGACGGGGAAAACGGCAATCGAAAGCTCTCAACAAGGCGGATCTTAAGAGCCCAAATTTTTTTGCTTAAGTAGGTCAGAAGTCAGGTCAAGGTCAGGTCAAGGGTACAAAATGCAAGTTTCTACAGTATCGGCCTTGCACCGTAGTTGCCGAAGAATGGACTGAGACTGATTGCCCAAAACGTGTTCTTAGACTACCAAGACAATATTCGTTGCATACAATGTCATTCAAAGGTCTAGGTCAAGGTCAGGTCAGGTCAGGTCACCAAAAACAAAATATAGAAAAGGGCATGTGCGACACATGTTTTATGGGTCATTTTACTCAAAGAATTCAAAAAGCACACTCAATAAGTGATACGGACCACCTCTGGATGAATTTCAGGTCGAGGTCAGGTCAAGGTCAGGTCAAGTGAGGTCAAATTTTGAAGTTGGTTGTTAAGGCCTAAAAAGGTGTCTATCTGATGCAGTTTTTCACGGCGAATCGAATGGTGCTATTTTTGTTTCCGTACGACGTCTAGAACTTCAAAAAAAAAAAAAATCATTTTTCAAAAATTGTGTGTGTCGTGACGTCATAAAATTTTGAATAACTCCCACATTTTTGAACCGATTCTTCTAAAAATTGGTATGTAGGTGCACATAGACCACTTCTCTGACATATATTCCGGTTTTTGATACACTCAAAATTTTGGATTTTATAATTATTTTCCCAAAAAAGTCAGTTTTTTGAAAACATTTGGGCCAAAATCCAAAATTTTCAAAAAACCGAGATAGCCATTTGATACACAAAGTAGAATCACGTATAACCTTCTTTGTTACGTCTTGATTCCTTTAAAAATGAAGATGTTAGCGGCGTTTGAAATTTTGTCGTTTTTGAGGAGAAAATGGCGAACATGACGTCACTAAAACGTCAATTTCTCAAAAATTTTCAGACGGATTTCGCTCAAACTTTCAGGGAACGTGTCAAATTGATGTGTGATAAGGTACTGAAAGTTTGACGTCGCTGGCGTAACGCGTTTAGAAGTTATTGGCGAAAAACGGGAGGGAGCGCGGGTTAAAGCATGTTGTAAATCTAGCAGAACAATGAACTTTCTTCGAGGGTATCCTGAATCACTTTGATAGCGATATGGATCGTTAAACAAACGAATATGACACTAGTTCAGCAGGACGAGACCCGGACGTTTCTTCCGTGGCCAGTTAGACAGGCCTAGCGCCGGGTCTGCGAGTCGATAAGGGTCATTTCACGCTTCTGTGTGGCTGAACTTCATCCATCGTGACGCTCAGTTGACAGTTGTGTGATTGCACCTTGTTGCCGGCTGTGAGAAGCGCATATTAATATTTGAGAATATTTTATTGCTGCATATTGCTCCTTTGGCATTCAGCTTTCACTGGAAAATGAAAAAAACATGCCTATGATTTCAAGAATGTCCTGACTAAAAAACTGACAAAAATTTAAAAATTATAGTTGTTATATAGTTATAATACATAGTTGATTAACCCACGCCCCGTTGGGGTCTGCCGAGCAACGCTGAGGATGAGGAATTGTTGGGGGGGGGGGCAATTTGCCCCCTCCCCCCTAAGATCTCGAGAACCACGCAACATAGCGACAAGCAGCATACGGTGCTGAATAGCCCCAACAGGGAACTACCTTATGACCCAATTTCATTGACCTGGGTCAAACCAATGACGTCACAGGTCAGGTCAAATGTCGAATTTTCACCGTTTACAGGCATTTCAAGAAATGCGTTGTAAAATCGAGTAAAATGCATTTCATTGAAATTCATCGATGAGGAATTGTTTTCAAACACATAGGGTAGGGTGGGGTAATTTGAACATGTGGGGCAATTTGAACATAGTGTGAACAACACAAAATTACGGAAAATCCATAAGTGGCATGACAATAAGACCAATGAGAGAAATTATCGCAACTAAAAGGGCTATAATATGAACGGGGTTTAAAGTTTCAGGGAATGAAGATGTTGACACACAGTGTAAAAAATCAATTTCGCAAGGATAAACGCCTAACAACACGTCATTGCAACTTCATTGCAGCGCAAAATCTTGCATTGTTAGCGCCTAATACGCAACCGCTTTTGTTGTACAATGACCTAATCAGTGCCTTCAATCCAAGAAATTTGCTTTTGAACCCTGTTTTTAAAAATGGCAAAATAACTTTTAGCGTGGGGTAATTTGAACATAGTGAGAATTTCAATGAAGACAGGGATAGCTCCGAAAAAACAACGCTCCCAGTTTTTTTTTGCCAATATTTTCGACCCAAAGCAGTAGCAGATAAGTGATGCTAGTTTTAGAAAATTTACGTCTAATATCCGTCTAATGTCCGGCATTTTCGCTGATTTTCCGTTCAAAAATGTTAGTCAACTATTTGTCCAAATATGTCCGAAAATTATGCAGCTATTAACACTCAAAACCGTAATTTATATTGCTTATCATGTAATTTTACCAGCCAAAAAGTGTTCATTATATTGAGAGCTTGACAAGCTTTCCATTCGCCAATCAATGCTACGCACGATTACTTGATAAAAATGCTTAAGTGTGGCAGGCCATCGTCCAATGTTGTCCAGACTACTATACCTTTGTGCAATCAATTTCGAATTGGACATGATAAAGAATCGGAACTCCGAATGTCCAGGTTCCGATTGGCACCACTATAACAGATGAAGTAAGGATTGGTAGAGTTTTTATCGAACGGAGATGATAGACGTTCTGTTAATTGAAGAGAGACGAATTCTGTCAACTGACCGGTGTGCAGCGTGCAGATATTGATACTCTGCAACTGTTGTTTTTGTTGTTGTGTTGATTTTTTCAAATGAAGGTATATTTAGAATTGCTCTGCCTATTCGTTTATGGGTCAAACAACATCGGTGCTGGCGAGACTATCGTTTTTATGGCAGGTAAAGGCAGTATGTTCAAATTACCCCACGGTGGGGCAATTTGAACACACCGTGACTTGGTGGAGAAGTGATGCTATGCTATTCAAGGTATGCTCGGCTCGTCCAAAAATGAGGCTTGCATGGTGAAAGCAAGTGACACATGCGCTACTGAAAGTTTTTCTTCATCCAGGGTTGAGCTGGACTTTGGTACAACGAAGAAGACGTAAAAATATGTTCAAATTACCCCACACTACCCTATTCTGCCATTTGAGGTCACTGATACCAGGTCACGTCACAGGGGTCAGGTCAATGAGAGTCACAATATGAAAATATCATGTTATGGTCCATTTTATGTGCCAAATGCGATTATGCGGGTCAGGCAGCCTTTGGGGCCAGTTTAAATTATGTTCTGGTGAAGGTCAGGTCAAGGTCAGGCCAAATTAGGTCAAATTTCAAAGTTGATATTTTTGCATAAAATAGGTATCGATTCGATGCAGCTCGACACGGGGAGTTCCATGGTTGTCTTTGTTTTGCGCTAAGTGATCCAGAATAGCTAAACATTGAGTTAAAAAATTAACGTCATCAATTTTGAAGTTTTTTTTCGCTATAACTTAACCAAAACAGGAGGTATCGATCTAAAATTTGGCATGCAGATAGAAGAGCGCAGGGACTATCACTTATATTCCGTTTTTGGAAATTCAGAAAAACTTGGGTTTGTTGCGTCTTGCTAAAAAATAACTTTATTTCTTTTGGGGTCAAAATCCAAAAATTTTGAAATTCCGAGATAGCATATTTGTAGCGCCGTCTTTTTCTACATGAACATATAATGAACTTTGAAATGTCTTGGTAACTGTCGCTTTTGTGAGCGTTTTAAGATTTCATGTTTTTTGCTCATTTTTGCTCGAACATGACCTCAGTTTGACCTCAATAACTCCTGACCTAAGGTGACCTAATACTTGAAATTTTGTGTGAAGGTGTCAAATTGATGCCCGTGAAGGTACTGAAAATTTGGCGTTTTGGTATTCAGGAAAAACCACATGGGGGGGGGGCAAATTGGCCCCCTCCAACAGGGCGAGTTAAAAAAGCATAACGTTTTTATAAGTCAGTTTTTTTAAGGCCATCGTACAATTTTGATAAGAATTACATTTTTGGAATTAGCTCACCGTCAGCTTTAGAATTGTATGTTTCGTTATCTTAGTGAATTAAATGACTTTCCGAGTTCCGACGAACCGTGGGACCCGGCTGAGAGCGGCTCTCCTCCATCAGCCGGTACGGAGCTGATGGAGGAGCTGATGGCTCTCAGCTGGCTGAGAGCGGCTCTCCGCCATCAGCCGGTACGGAGCTGGCTCTCCGCCATCAGCCGGTACGGAGCTGGCTCTCCTCCATCAGCCGGTACGGAGCTGGCTGAGAGCGGCTCTCCGCCATCAGCCGGTACGGAGCTGGCTCTCCGCCATCAGCCGGTACGGAGCTGGCTGAGAGCGCACGGTAGGCGATCCAGGCGTTCTAGCGCTTCAGGGACCCAGGATACCAAATTGAAAATTATGGCTGAACGATGGTTTCTTGTGTAACCAGATATCCTGGCAGGTGAAAAACGATACTATGTCTAATTTCAAACCAACCTGCGGTTATTTTTGACATTATGCAAGGCACTTCCAAACCATATCCATCTGAATGCCACCCAAGCTAGATAGGCTGAAATAGTCGTCCTTGGCCTGTGACCCGACCCTTGTTATTGCGTTGTCCTCTACATATGGATATCGCCAAAAATGCGTTTGAATGCAGTTCATGTTTGTTTTTTACACCTTCCCAAGCGGGGATGGGAGCCCGGCTCGCTGCCACCGCCGTCACCTCGTATGCGGTGCGGATCTCGCTGTAGCAGACGCCGCCCAGCACGAAGACGATGAGCCGCGGCACGGAGCGCGCCGCCGGCGTGCCCTTGTCCTTGTGCCAGTGGCCGTAGCGGGCCGTGGTGGGCGTGGCGCGCGGGTAGCCAGTCTGCGCCGCCCGGCCGGCCAGGAACGGAAACTGGCGCTCGTCCAGTTTCAGCTCGATGGCGTCCTCCATGATGTCTTTGATGACGGGCGTCCAGCGGGACGTCTGGTAGGTGTGCTCCGAGACGCGCTCCTTGCGCGCCACCTGTCGGCGGCGACAGTGGGACTGGGCTCAGTGCCGGGCCGACACAGGGCAGCCAGCTCACATCCAAACCGGCCCACATACAGGACACGGGCCAACACTAAACAGTAGAAATCAGAGTTGTAAAAGTAGCGGTCTCCGCCCCTGTCTTTGCCCCTGTTCCGTATTTAATAGCCATTCGATGCATGTCAGCTCACATCATCTGCGCTGATAAAAACGTATCAACATGTAAAATGATGTTTGTTCCATATACCTACAAAGGTGGGTGTCAGTGTCACGTGAAGGTCAGGTCAAGGTTAAGCTCATTGACCTGAAATGACGTCAGTGAACATTTTTCAATTTTACATTTTTAAGGGTAGTTTTTTGAAGCTGATATTTGATATCGGTGCCGTTCCGGGCACGCCTCGCCCTCCGAGAATGAGTGTGACTGGATTATCACTGCTGGCTATGCAATATCCATATCGAGGTTCCGTCCTGTCGGCAGTCAGCTGGCCGTTTTAAGGCCGCCGTCCACTATGCGGAGCGCTTGCGGTCCGCACCGAGTCCCCATGGGCGCATGTGGTCCACACGGAGATCGTGTGCGGACCGCAAGCGAACGGCAATCAGCTGTTGATTTTCCGTCAGCTCTCCGCAAGCGTTTCGGAAGCGGTTGCCACGGAGACGAAATACCGAAATTCGACGTGTTGAACTTTTCTGCGGAGAACGCAGACGGAATGGACGCGGACAGGGACCGTCTTCCGTCTTCGAGTTTTCAATCGCAAATTTAAGATAGAATTGCATTCTTTCAACAAGCATGTCCCGTAGCTCAGTTGGTAGCGCATTGGACTCCCGGTAGTGAGAACCCGGTTTCGAGACGCTCCGGCGCTCGATATTTGAGACTCCTGACGGGGATGGTCTGCGGTTGGTGGGAGCAGCCGCAGCCAGTTGAAGTCAGTTGAGTGGGACAGACCGTGTCCGGCTTTGAAGGGCACGTTTAACTTTCGCATCTAAATTCTCCAGTTACCCGGAATTGCACGATCGGACGGTAGGGGTCGGGGTCTACGCAATAAGCTCTGCTTAGCGTGGGCTCCGGCTCTCACATTCCGCCCATTCAAACATTCGAGCTAAATTTATTAAAAAAAAAACATGAAGTAAGTAAATATCATTTGTTTTGTATCGCAACACTCTGTGATGCTAGTCATTTAGGACTCAATTAATGATAAGGGAAAGTGGGGTATAGCAGACCACCGGGGCAAAGCGAACCACCCACCCTATTGTGCTTATTAAAAGCGCCATTTATTTTTGAAGGTAGCCATTAGAAGTGCTTCCCATCTACGCACTTCCACCTGCAGCGGCAGCCTGATCCGCGGGGATTGGCGGTCGCAGCCGTTAGCCAAATCGGGGCCAAAGTCACACTTGCGGGACATAAGATGTCATTTATCCGTCAACCAGGGGGGGGGGGGATGCATGAAAAATAAAAAGGTGGTGATCGGCGCGGGACCATCAGGACCAACGTTAGGCTCTGCCGAATTGCTAAATTCGAAATCAGCTCCAAACAAGTAAAACTCGAAAAAGTGAACCAAGGTCATTAAAGGTCAATGACTTTGCCTGACCTTCACGTGACCTTGACACCCACCAAAATGCATGGCACCAACATCATTTCACTTGTCTGAACGTTTAAAACCACAAAAAGCCTGGAAACGCGTGGATCATGTGAGCTGGCATACGCCGAATCGCGATTCCGGCCAAACATGGTCTCGAGAAATGTCACAGGTCAAAAGACAGTTGGGTCAGAGTCATGAAATTTTTAGGTAAGATGTAAAATTGATCATCTCGGGGGACCGAAAGCTTCGTCGCGATCGGTCGCTTTTTGCGCAAGTAATTTGCGAAAAACCATGGAGGTTCATCCGACCCCTCCCCCTCCTCCCCACAAGCGCAAGGGTTAATAAGGTTACGGTAGGTACCATTTACGCTTGTCATCCTATTCCTAATGTGCCTCAGAAAATATGGATCATATAAATCACGAAGTAAAATCATTCTACTGCCGATCGCGATGAAAAGCGGCCGATCGCAATGAAACTTTCAGTACCCTCGCGTCCATCAGTTTTTTACCTACCCTGAAAATTTCATGACCCTGACCCAAATGACCTTTGACCTGTGACCTACTCTTTGAGACCGGAATTGCGATCCGGCGTATGTTGGCTCGCATTAGCCGCGCATTTGCAGTCTTTTCGTGGTTTCAAGCGTTCAAACATGTGATATGATGTTGGTCCCATGCATTAGGGTGGGTATTAAGGTCACCTGAAGGTCACGTCAAGTCATTGACCTTTAATGACCTAGGTTCACTTTTTCGAGTTTTACATGTTCCTATGCTAGTTTTTGGAGCTGAATTCGATTTTAGCAGCCATTCGAACATTTACGAGGTAGTTTTGGTGCCTTTGTAACATGCTACGAAGCTGTCCAAGGCGGTTGACACCTACTACGAACACCCGGCAGGACCCCTACTGGTTGACCTGACCAAACCTGACCCGACCTGGCCTAAATGCATGAAGGCAACATCTGTGATCAAAACTTACATGATATTCGTGATCAGCACCCCGACCCCCCCCCCCTCAGCACCCACACTTTATGATGTTCTAACAGGTCCCGATTTTCACGACTTTTGGGTCACTGACCTGACCTCAGAGGTCACCATTTGACCTATGACCTTAAAACCCGATACCGTTGGCTTTGTCTCGTGACGACCTTTACGATGTTTTTTTTTTCCGCGAGGCTCTAGCTCAATAAGGGGCCAAACGCGAGGGGGCGAGTACCAGCCCCCCCCCCCCATGTGCCGTCGAAGGACGCAAAATGGCCTGTGCCGGCGAGGGTGAAGATCAGGTCAAAGGTCAGAGGCCAGTTTTACCAACAGAAAAATAGCCGCCTGCCGGAATTTTTTGCCTTAAGACCGCTTCACATACGGCGCGTAAACGCGCTGGGCATGTAAATTGGATAGGGCTTTACCGTTTACGCTCCGTATGTGAAGCGGTCTTGAGGAACACTTTGGCATGCGGCTATTTTTCTGTTGGTAAAACTGGCCTCAGGTCACCAAAGGTCATTGAATGTCAAATTTCACCTATTTCGACAAATTCGAGTCGACAAACCAGCATATAGCTCGGAAGTGAATAGAACAAGAGCGGTGCAGAAAGGCCCATGCCATAGCCCTTTTGACGCTCTTTCCCAGCAGTTCCCTCAGATTTGACCCTAGGTCAACAGTTTAGCCTGTATGGAGCAAAAACTGCCAAAATAGACGTTTTTTTTTGCGGAAACGATTTTTTCAAAAATAACTTTTGACTCAAACCTTGCCCGAGGTTTAGTTTGCCGGTATCGTGTCCCTCTCGTCGAGACGCGTCAACTGAACTATAACTCGACCTTGAAAGGTCAAGTTGAAAATATTATCTCAGGTCAAGGTCATGACCTGAGCGGAAAAGGTCACACTGAGTATCAGTCGATCGGTATCGTCGAGGCTGAACGTGCCTGTATCAAAGGATATTTTGCGAAAAACTGTTGGATACCTTTTGTGACCTGAGATGACCTCAGGGGCATAAAGGAGGGTCACGAGTGCAATCATTTGATTCAATACTTATTACTTAATATGTATTTGTAACAAGATGATTGAGTGTTTATAATGACGTTCCTCTAAAAGAAACGCAGTTTAATTGTCTCTCATTGGCGTGTGATGGTGAGGTGGTGAATGGTGAATTGTGATGGTGAATTGAGTGAAGTGTGATGGTGAATTGACCTGACCTTGGGTCATCGATATCGAAATTCCGGGATGAACTCTTAAAACACACTGCTACCATTATCAACTGTTCAAAGTTTGAAAGCAATCCGAACCACGGTGTACTATGGAAAGCATTGAAACTTTTACTGAGGTAAAGTCACTTGACGTGATCTGGTGACTTGACCTTGAGAGACTGGTCTGGAATTTTTAGATGTGGAGAAAAAATATATAAGCACCATTCAAACTGCAATTTGCTCTCACCAGTCGGAGTGTGCCAATAAAAGGGGCGGCGTCGGCTGACCTGCGGTATTTTGCGCCGGTGCTGTCCCTCGACCACCACCTCCAGGCCCAGTTTGGCCAGGTTGGTGATGATGTCACGCTCGGCGGCCGGGATCTGCGCGTGCTGCACCAGCTTGTTGAGGTTCTCCTCGCTGATGCCGTTCTTGGCCAGGATGTAGAGCAGGATGATCCGGATCTTGTCGTACGTGGTGACGTTCTGGTCCAGCAGGATGGGCACGATGTTGCGCATGTGGTCGCGGATCTTCTCGCCTTCCGTATCGGTGCCCATGGCCAAGTCCTGTTCCACCTGCGGGCGGAGCGGGGTCAGCGCGCCGGCCGTCCGCCGACCCACCGAGCACCTGTACTGATAACCTACAGCAGGTATGTACCAACTGAGCACCTGTGCTGATAACCTACAGCAGGTATGTACCCACTGAGCACCTACACTGAGTACCTACAGCAGGTATGTACCCACTGAGCACCTACACTGAGTACCTACAGGCCCAGTGCACAGAAAATCTGCCAGCGTGGGTGAGAAGTGGCATCCAAATGAAAACAATTTTCCGCTCTCACCTGAAACTTTCCAGAGCAATTTTTCCCTCCCAATTTTACCAATAAAGAGCATCGGTGTGTAACTTGCTGGCTGGCTTCTGCCTACTTCTATATTCCATTCAATTATCTAAGAGCGCAGCTCCCATACCTACCCTCCAACGTTCATTTATAAATTGATGACGCCTGTTTTCTGCTCTTTATGTGCCTTTCTGACTGACAACTTTCCACTCTTAGTCATCTTTGTAGTGAGGAATATCCCCATACCTTCGACAACCGAGCCAAAATACAGTTTGGGACACTGACCTACACTGAGTAGTGAGTACCAACAGAGCACCTACACTAAGCGCCTACACTGAGTAGTGAGTACCAACAGAGCACCTACACTAAGCGCCTACACTGAGTAGTGAGTACCAACAGAGCACCTACACTAAGCGCCTACACTGAGTAGTGAGTACCAACAGAGCACCTACACTAAGCGCCTACACTGAGTAGTGAGTACCAACAGAGCACCTACACTAAGCGCCTACACTGAGTAGTGAGTACCGACAGAGCACCTACACTAAGCGCCTACACTGAGTAGTGAGTACCAACAGAGCACCTACACTAAGCGCCTACACTGAGTAGTGAGTACCAACAGAGCACCTACACTAAGCGCCTACACTGAGTAGTGAGTACCAACAGAGCACCTACACTAAGCGCCTACACTGAGAACCAACTGAGTGCCTACACTGAGTACCAACGGCCTTGGTACCAACTGAGTAACAACCCAGTATACAGCTCACGGATGAAATCAGTGCACAATTACCAATGAACCCAGTACACAATTACCAATGAACCCAGAACACAATTAACAATGAACCCAGTACACAATAAACAATGAACTCAGTACACAATTAACAATGAACTCATTGCACCAGTATAACGCCTTTTGGGGCGACTAATGGAGCGAGCGGGAGGGTGGGCGCACGTGCGAAATTGCGAGGAGGTACCTCCAACTGACTTGTGCACGGCACCCTACTAACCGGTCTCTAGCGATGTGCCAAATTTGAGCGCAATCGGTCCAGCCGTTCTCGAGATCTGGAAGCGACACCCTGCACGTGCGCACGTGCAAAATGGGTCCCGACTGACTTTTGCACGGCACCCTACTAACCGGTCCCTAACTGTGTACCAAATTTGAGCGCAATCGGTCCAGCCGTTCTCGAGATCTGGAAACGACCCCTGCACGTGCGCACGTGCAGCAGCACCCTAACTTTGGCACATGGATATGCATTGCCTAGTGGGTGTCTACCTACATGCCAACTTTCAGCGCAATCGGCAAAATAGTTAGTTACCGAGATATTGCAACTATTACAAAACTGACACCTCTTCGTTTTGCACGTGGCACGTGCATAAGGGGTCACCCACATGCATCATGAATAATCCAATACTTGGTAGAAGGAATGAAGCTACCCTATAAAAATTACCCCATGTAAATCGGTCAAGTGATTGCTGAGATATAAGCGTCGCAAAATCGTGACCACGGCCGGCCGCTCATACTCAGAAATTTCCGTTAGTCTAAGGAAAGACTCCGCTCGCTTCGCCCGCTCCAAAATTAATATGCGTCTCTCACAGTCGGCAAAAAGGCGCAATCGCATAGCTCAGTCTCACGATGGACCAAAGTCAGCCAAACAGAAGCGTGAAGTGACTCTTATTGACTCGCAGACCCGGCGCTCTCGGCCCGCCTGACCAGCCATGGAAGGGACGTTCGGCTGTTGTTTTAACCCTCACCCTGGCAGGGGGGTCGATGCGATCCCCCCAAGGTTTTTCGAAGATAGCGTAAAAACGGCGGCGCGCGGCGCCGCCAAATTTGGCACAGCCTATGGGGCAATCTTTTTACATATGACCTGAAATTATGACCTGAAAATTTCAGGTCCGTGTGACCTTGGGTCAGGTCACCAGGTCAGAAAAAGCGGTACAAGGTCATGGTCAAATTTCAATGTTCTTTATGCACCTGTCCAACTCACAGTTTTGGACCGATTTCCTTCAAACTTTCAGGATGTGCTAAGTTCACCGAGTTGTATAACATATAGTTCGGGTTTGTTATATCACTGACCTGAGGTCAGTTAGAGGTCATTACGTCGTAATGTTAAGCCTATAGGGAAAAATAAAATAACTCCATTCCGAAAATACTAGAAATATCCGCTTCGTTCGTTCGTTCGTTCGTTCGTTCGTTCGTTCGTTCGTTCGAGAGAGAGAGAGAGAGAGAGAGAGAGAGAGAGAGAGAGAGAGAGAGAGAGAGAGAGAGAGAGAGAGAGAGAGAGAGAGAGAGGAGAGGAGAGGAGAGAGAGAGAGAGAGAGAGAGAGAGAGAGAGAGAGAGAGAGAGAGAGAGAGCGCAGTCAAGTGCTGATATTAAATAAATAACAGTGTCAAAAGTTATTTTACTGACTCAACTCTAACTCAACTCAACACCTTAATATTTTTGTCCGACTCAACTCAACAGGTGAACATTTTACCCGACTCGGCTCAAATCTGACTCGACTCATGAGTAAAGCACAACCCTGGTACTCAGCACTCAGCACACCATCGACAGATAAACTCAGCACACCATCGACAGATAAACTCAGCACACCATCAACAGATAAACTCAGCACACCATCAACAGATAAACTCAGCACACCATCAACAGATAAACTCAGCACACCATCGACAGATAAACTCAGCACACCATCGACAGATAAACTCAGCACACTCCTTGGCCCGGCCGGCTCTAGCTTGCAAAGTTTGCCGGCCCTACCTTGCAGAGTTTGTCGACGCGACCGGTGTATCCTTTCATGCACTCCTCAGCCAGGTGCAGATGCGTCGAGTACTTGCTCAGCTCCTGCTGGTACTGCGGCATCCGTTTGATGAGCTGGCCCAGGTCGCGCATCGACGCCTTGTCCGTCGACATGCCGCGCTTGGTCTCCACGAACTTCTTCATGTTCTTAGTGACCTGGCGGCGGGCAGCCGAGCCGGCGTCAGCTGACCCGGCCACAGGACAACCCGAGTGGCCGACAGCCCACCAAAGGGCAAAGGACAAAGGGGGAGAAGTTCGTCTGAAGCTGTTCGCCCAAACGACACAGCTGATAGGCTTTCACCCTCGCCCTGGCGGGGGGGGGTCGATGCGACCCCCCTAAGGTTTTTCAAAGATAGCGTAAAAACAGTGGCGCGTAGCGCCGCCAAATTTGGTACAGCATATGGGGCAAGCTTTTTACATATGAACTGCAAATTTCAGGTCCGGGTGACCTTGGGTCAGGTCACCAGGTCAGAAAAACCGGTACAAGGTCATGGTCAAATTTCAATTTTCTTTATGCACCTTGAGTTCCATCAAACTTTCAGGATGTGCTGAGTTCACCGAGTTGCATAACATATAGTTCTTTTTTTATGTCACTGACCTCAGGTCAGTTACAGGTCATTACGACGTTATGTTAAGCCTATGGGGAAAAATAAAATAACTCCATTCCGAAAATACTAGAAATATCCGCTTCGTTCTATCACTTTTGTGCTTTGATACCACATAACTTAACATTATGTCACTTGGTTATTCTTTGTTTGGTATACATACTTATCCAAGAGTCAGGTCAAATGAGGTCAACTGAGGTCAAATGACGTTTGTGCCAATAACTTGTCACATAATAAAGACAAAGCTTTCAAAATGGTAGCATTATCTTCCTCTTGAACAGTCCAGTCGAACGATATGCAACATTAACCCGCGCATGACTGGGGGCAGGGCTGTGCTCGACTAAAAAAATTGCCGACTCGACTCATCATTCAACTTCAGAAAGCCCTGACTCAAATCTGACTCAAACAAGGAGCTGATTTTTCCCCTTGACTCGACTCATGACTCAAGCGGTACAATGAAAATATGAGTCGACTCAAACTTGACTCAAATTTTTTTGTTGAGTCAAGTGAGTTGACTCACAATTGACTCAGATAAAAGTTGTTGAGCGGGGGAAGGGGTGAAAAAAATCCGGCAGCAGGACCAGGGCTAAGTTATTAAGGGGGGGGGTTAAAAGCTTATATATATATATATATATATATACATATATATATATATATATATATATATATATATATATATATATATATATATATATATATATATATATACACACATATATATATATATATATATATATATATATATATATATATATATATATATATATATATATATATATATATGTTACGGGCCAAGTGCGAAGGCTAGTCCGTTTGCGAACGGACTAGTCCATTCGCGAATGGACTAGGCCGTTTGAGAATGGCGGTCCGTTTGCAAACGGACTAGTCCGTTTGCGAATGGCCGGCCATTCGCGAATGGCCTAGGCCGTTTGCGAACGGACGGGTTTGTGGCGTTGCACTTAGCCGCCGGAAGCATGGATCCTCGGATTGGGGTACGATTCCGAATGAATGGGGGACCGCTGGTCGATGCAGGGGCGTCGCTGACGGGGGGGGGGGGTCGGAGGGGTCCGGACCCCCCCCACACACACACACATTCTTGAAAATATGCCGGTCCGACGCCCCCCCCCCTCCCCCCCACACACACACTTTTGGCCACGAAAATCGATCAAGAATAAAATAAAATATTTTAAAAACGATTTTGGTGCATTCTCAAAATAAAATTGTCTAAATCCGAGGAGTTTTCAGTATTTGGTGGGGATTACTTTGACTGACCGTCCGACCAGATCCCCTAGTCGAAAATCCGTGGCGACGCCACTGCGTCTATATGTTTAGTTTGTTCTCCGGAGCAGATCTGCGAGCTGGCGCAACTCTGGGTTAAGGTCTCCACACACCTGGTCCATTCGGGATGCGACTTTCCGCTGAACCCTGCACAACGCGGAAATTATAGCAACGTGTTGCCGCTGGCCAGGCTTCGGCCACCGATCTGGATCTGGGGAGGTCAAATATCCCGGTGACCTTCGAACAGCGGAGAGTCGCGTGGTGTGCGGAGACCATTAGTAGGTACCGTGCTCCGGGCTCCCCGCTGATGACCCGACCTGACCTTGGGACCACGGGACTTTGCACATGCCAAGTTGACTTGCCAAGTTGACGTCACTTTGCTGGATATTTCGCACTTGGCCTGACTTCGCACTTGGACTGGGAGCATAAACGCCCGTCCATTCGCAAACGGCCTAGGCCAACTGCAATAACGCACATGGACTAGTCCATTCGCAAACGGCCTAGTCCAAGTGCGTTATCGCACTTGGACTAGGCCATTCGCGAATGGACTAGCCTTCGCACTTGGCCCGCAACATATATATATATATATATATATATATATATATATATATATATATATATATATATATATATATATATATATATATATATGATATTGTTTCTAGAAAGTTGAGTCAGCTGACTCATGTTCCTAAATGTTTGACTCAACTCAATGTCAAAAGTTATTTTACTGATTCAACTCTGACTCAACTCAACGCCTGAGTCAAATTTCTGACTCGACTCATGAGTCAAGCACAGCCCTGCTGGGGGGGGGAGGGGGGGAGGGCTCTACAGAGCCCCACTCTCGTTTTTCTGCAATATCTTCTAAACCGTTAAAGGGAGATAATGAGCTTTCTTTTTTCTTAAATAAAAATTACTCGACATCTATACTATTTCTACTGTAGTTTCTATAAAATATGAAAATTTCCTAGCACATTTTCGTATGTGAAAAAGGTTTTTATTTTTGCAAAAAAGAAGCAGTACTTGCAGTACTTGTAACACCCACCGAAATGCGTTGTCCTTCTCTATAAAAAAGTCGCAGTATATGGCGCTTTTGTTTCAAACAGCGACGCTTGGGTTTTTGTTTATGTTATCGCCTTGTCGTTGCTTGGTTGTAAGGATTCTAATTTGAATTGGAGTTAATTCGGTTTAGAATTAATTAGATTCTAATTCGGGGGTACATAGTGCCTACTCTTCTTTGTTTCCAAGTAGGTAATAGGATTATTTTGCGCCACAAATGAACGGCATGCGCCAGAAACGCAGCCAAATCTTGCGATTGCGACTACGAAATTCATTATTTTGGCGTCAGAGCCTGAAGCGAAAAATACAAGCATATTTATTTCAAAAAGACTTCAGGTTTGTCGAACGGTGTTATGAGAATTTTGATAACAGTACTGCATAAGTTTTTCAGTGATGCCGCAAAAGTGTTGTATCTATCTTCTTTTATTGTGCAGTCGGCGGGACCGATTCAAAATTGAGTCGTTGCTACTAAAATAGCAGCATATGGCGTCAGATGATGAACAGGAAAAATAGTTGCGTAAATTTAGACATAAACCACCCCCAAACCATGAATATCTTTTGAAGGCACTATAGACGACCATTAACTAACTAGATGTGATGAAGATCAAATGTAAGGAATACCCTCATTTTACAAAATTACATGCATGTACCAAAAAGTGATGTAAGTACTTATTCAACGGTCATTTTCAGCGCTCCCCGCTAACGTGACTTCAAGTTGAGATATTTGCGGCAAGGTACCGAATTGAGCAAAATGGTTTTAATTTACATTATAACTTGTTGTGTTTTGTCAGAAAATGGTCCTAACTCAGATTTTGTGGAAAAAGGTCATTATCTCCCTTTAAACGAATCTGCACGAAACTTGCGGTACCTTCAGCGGCATCAATTTGACACCTTGTGTTGAAATTTCAACTTTCTAGCTATCATAGTTTGCCCGTAAATGACGTCAGAGTGACGTCATGTCGGCCGATTTTGATGCAGAATATTGAATTACGGCAAACGCTCTCAAGAGCTCAGATTTAACCCGCGCCCTGCTGTGGGGGGGGGGGGGGTGTTTTGTGGTTTTTCGCGAATATCTCAAAAACGGCGGCGCGGAGCGCCGCCGTTTTTGGTACACCTTATCATACATCAATTCTACACATGTGAAAATTTCAGACCAAGGTCATTCAAGATCAGGTCACCAGGTCACTTGAAGTGACCTCACCTCATAAGAAGTTTCAATGTCTGTCATAGCTACACCGAGTGACCGATCGCTTTGAAACTTTCAGCGATTGCTAAGAGCAATAGCATGTACAAAATGTATATCTCAGAATTTTGATATCGATGACCTAAGGTCAGATCAATTTTGCGACCTCCCCATTATAAGTCAATGGGAGAAAATTGAAATGCGCCTCTTTTGGACGAAAGACATTATAAACACTCCCAAACACCGAATTACAAGTAGTTTAGACACACTGAACATGAAAATGGTGTCCGTGACCCTTGTTTATGCCCTGAGGTCATCTTAGGTCACGATTGGTATCTAACAGTTTTTCGCAAATAACTTTTGATAGAGGCATGCTAGAGCGATGAAAACGCCTTAGATGTGTTCAGCTCGACGATACGTATCGACTGATATGCACATAGACCCGGGAACAGGGCGGGCAGCGGGGGCGCTTGCCCCCCAACTTGAGAGCCGAGGGGTCGGCGCCCCCTCAACATTGAGGCAGCGAGAAAGGATCTTTCCTCCCTTTTGCGGACTTCTTTCCTTCTTGTTTCCTTTATACATCTTAACATTAACACACGGCATTAAGTCCGTGCCATCTGAATGATTTCTGCTGATACAGTATCGATTTTACATGACATATTGTCATCCCTCTATGGTCATCCCGCTTTGGTTTGGGCCTGACCTTGGCCATAAGTTTGGCAGGCCAGATTTTATACTGGACCATTTTGGGTCAACTTTGAGAAATACATAACGTACAACGGTGGTAAAATCATTGCTATATGTATGTATAACACAGTTTACCCGCTCTGTGTGTAAGGAAGGGGTGTGGGGCAATGGGTGCACTGACGTGGCCCCCTCGGAAGGCCGGTATGGGATTAAAGCTCAGCGACACTAAGGGCTTATGTGGTGCCTTCGGTTATCAGTAGCACCCTCAGAATCACCGGCGTAGGGCCCTCAGAGCCGCCGGTAAGGGGCCTTTAGAGGCACTGGTGTGGGGCCGTCATGCAGGT